TCTGGTCTGTTTTGTATTTCCGTTCTGTTTGGTTTGGATTGCTGGCAACCCTTCTTGCATGAGAGTGTTGTCTGGGCTTTCAGCCAACCAAGTTGTAATTCGTGTGATTAAAGAGTGGCAAATAGCCAAGCCTGTGTCTGCGTTACTCACAGGCCCGGGGGGGGGGGGTCAGAACAGTTAACTATGGTAATTAGGTTCAGATTTTCCATCGCTAAGCAACAGAGTTGTAAAGTAATGTCATGTGATCATGCTGCTTAGCGACAGCACTTCCGGTGCTTCCTGTGGCCGTCATTAACAGAATCCTGCACCATTGTTAAGCACAACATCACACAATCACACTTTGGGATCTCTTGCCAGTTTTTACGCTGATTCTGCTTGTCAGAAGCCAGCAGTGAAAGTTGCAAATGTCGGTCACATGACAGTGGGATGCTTCAATGTCATAATTGTGAGCCAGTCACCAAGTGCCCGATAGTGTTCATGTGACCTTGGAGATGCTTCGATGGCTGGAAATTTGAGAGTTGGTCATAACTATCACTTGTTCAGTGCTGCCGTAACTTTGAGCAGTCACTGAATAAGTGGTTGCCAAGCAAGGACCCCTTGCAAGTAGCAAAGTAATGAATGTCCACGTAGGGAGGGAGTCAACAACATTAAGAGGGCAACAACCACACTTTGCAGTCAAATCGTGCTTTTTTTTTTTTACATAGTTTTGTTCTTGTGGGTGTCAACAAAACTCTCCGGATCTTTCTGGGCCCCTCTTCAAGCAGGGGCCCCCAACGTGGTTTGCACAAGAGGCTCAGCTACCAACATGGAAAAGGAATGAAACTCCAAAGGGGAGGATGAAAATGAAGCATAATGAAGAGAAAAAAATTGGGCTGGTTGCCCTTTACTCACATCTTCCCTCGGCGTGGCAGGCTCAGCTCCTTCTGGATGAAGAAAACAGAAAATAAAAGAGTGTCTACATGGCTTCTGTATCACCCAAATCTTGTTTCTTTGCCTTTGCTCAGACTCCCCAGATCTTAGCCTGAAATGGTAGAGAGTGTAAGGGGGGGGGGGGGCAAACCTATGGAAGGCGTGGCCAGAGGTGGCAGGCAGAGCCCTCTCTGTGGGCATGTGCGCTGTCATGCGTGCTCTCTTTTGGGTTGTGGCGCTCCCGTTCACAGATGCATGCACTCCAGTTTTGGCACTTGATGCCGAAAAGGTTAGCCGTCACTGGAGTATAGGTATGACATAGGGTAGTGATGGCTAACCTTTTGGGCACCAAGTGCCAAAGCATGCATGCGTGCACCCATAATGCAATGCACTCTGCATGTGCCCCATCCCTCCGCATGCGCACGTGACCACGTCCACCCCCACACATGCATGCGTGATCCCGCTGTGCATGACCCCGCTGCACGCAACCCGCTCCCTATGCATGCATGCCCACCCAGGTGTCTCCTGCATGTGCCCCACCCCTGTGCAGCAGAGACATGAAAATCAGCTGGCCGGGCGGGAGGTGCACGCTCATGCGCAGCGGAACTGAGCTGGGGCGACGGCTCGCATGCCCGCAGGAAGGGCTCTGTGTGCCATGCCATAGGTTCACCATCACTGATATAGGGTTCCCTACTTGAGCACGGGGCTTGATTAGATGACCTCCAAGGTCCCTTCCAACCCTCTTATTCGATTAGTCTTTGCTCTTTTAGCTTTCTGCTGGCCTGAATGGATGAATGGGAAAAGTGGTGTTGTTCTCTTCAAACAATGAGGGTTATTCAATATGCACCAATATCTTCCTTTCCTGGGATTCTTGCACCAGATTTTACAGCAAGAGCATGCTCTTTGTATTTGTTAGGAAAGAAAAAAAATACTCTTCTTATGTTCCAGAGCACGGGTGTCAAACCCGCAGTGTCACATTTTCCCAGTCCTGGTGCTGGGGTGGGTGTGTACTGCACGTGACTCATCCAGCCTGTTTGACGCCCGCTGTAATCCAGAGCATTCCCTCTATATACAATCTTGGTTCAGGTCCTCAGCTAGCAATACTTACTGGGTGACTATGAACCAGTTTCTCCAATTCAGCCCTTCCTATTGCAGCACTGTTGGATAAAATGGGAGGTGGCATTCTACACTACAATATTCCTGCAGTTGAGTATAAATAAACAAGAAAAGGGAAGAACATCTTGCTGTAGATGGAATAAATTTACTACCAAGGTGGCTAGTGTAGAAAAATTCAGTGAATGGGCTGAGGCATCCAGTATGCCTGAACCTGGCTTAATATGTTTCCTGATTCATGCTAGATAATGTCTAGATTCCTATAGGACAGTGTTTCTCAACCTTGGCAACTTGAAGATGTCCGGACTTCAACTCCCAGAATTCCCCAGCCAGCATTCGCTGGCTGGGGAATTCT